CCACCACCATCACCACCATCACCACCACCACCACCATCACCACCACCACCATCACCACCACCATCACCACCACCACCACCACCATCACCACCACCACCATCACCACCATCACCACCACCATCACCATCACCACTACCATCACCACCACATCACCACCACCACCATCAACAACAACAACAACAACCGCCATTCGCCACTAAGTGGCGGTGACGTCACCACGACGCTTGTGCCAGGCTATGTGCACCCTGAGGCCACGTGAAGTGTCGAACGCCCGCTGGCAGGAGGTCACGGGGCAGACCCAGGTGCCACGGGTCGACTGACTGAGATGACTGGCTGATGCACCACCTGTGCCCCCTACTGTGCCAACCTGCTGTGCTTTAGCCACCCGGCGCTCCGCTCGCTGTTGTGAGCGTCGCTCCTCCGCCCTCCGTTGTTGTTGGAGGGCGACTGCCTCCAACTGCCCTGTAGCATCCTTCACGAGCCTCCTCCACAGAGGCCGATCTTGACACCGCTGGTACCAGTCATCGGCAAGTCCACTCAGCTCCACGTCCTCCTGTACCACATCACTCCATCTCTTCTCTAGCCCGTGCCGCGCCCGCTTAGCCCCCTCAATCCGGCCAAACAAAAGCTGTTTCGGCATGCGGTGGCTGGGCATGCGGGCTACATGACCCAGCCATCGCAGCCTTGCCTGCCGGAGGAGCTCACCGATGGGACCCTGCCCAGATCTTTCAAGGATTTGTGAGCTCCTCACACAATCCAGTCTGGTTAAACCCAGGATGGATCGTAGGCAGGCCAGCCTAAATGTTTCTAACCGGCGAAGATGTTCCATTAGGGGGGTCCACGTTTCGCAAGCGTAGAGAAGGGAGGGAATGACCGTGGCCGAGAAGACCTGAAGTTTAGTGCGGAGCGACAGACCAGGTAGCTTCCACACAGCGTTACGCAACCGATGAAAAGATATTGCCGCTCGACTGATTCGGAGTGAGACCTCTGCTGTTAAACTGGAGCCAGTCATAAGCACACTGCCCAGGTATGGGAAACTCTCCACTCTCTCCACAACTGCCCCATCACCGATTGGGAGTTGTGGGGGTGGAGTGTCTGATGGTACAAAATACCCAGGCAGGTGCTTAGTTTTGGTGGGGCTGATGGTAAGGCCCCATCTCTTAGTGGCACGCTCCAGTCTCAGCAGCAGCGTCTCCAACTCCTCCTCTGAATGAGCAGCTATTACCAAATCATCGGCATACATGAAGTGGTTGAGCAATAGGGAGCCATCCCTTGACCGCACCCGGGCATCGATTAGCCTCCCATTATATCTGTACCATATGGAGATTCCCCCGGTACAGCTATTGAAGGCTTCACGAACTACGTGGTCAAAATAGATGTTAAATAATGTGGGAGCCAGAGGACATCCCTGTCGCACCCCAAGGTGTACAGGGAATGGCTCTGACTCCCGGCCACGTAGTTTTACCCGGGCCCGCTCACCATCATGAAGGTCCTTAATGATCGTGAGCAGAGGGTCAGGTACTCCAAAAGCACGAAGAACGACCCAGAGCCCAGGCCTACTGATGGTATCATAGGCCTTGACCAGGTCAATAAAGCAGAGATGTAGGTCTTGTTGGAATTCCCTACACCTCTGCTGTAGCAGACGGACAGAAAATATGACATCTGTGCAGGACCGCCCTTTCCTTCACCATCACCACCACCATCACCACCACCACCACCATCACCACCACCACCACCATCACCACCATCACCACCATCACCATCACCACCATCACCACCACCATCACCACCACCACCACCATCACCACCATCACCACCATCACCATCACCACCATCACCATCACCACCATCACCACCATCACCACCACCACCATCACCATCACCACCATCACCACCATCACCATCACCACCATCACCACCATCACCACCATCACCATCACCACCATCACCACCACCACCATCACCACCACCACCATCACCATCACCACCACCACCATCACCACCACCACCATCACCACCACCACCACCATCACCACCACCACCATCACCACCACCACCATCACCATCACCACGACCACCATCACCACCACCACCACCATCACCACCATCACCACCATCACCACCACCATCACCATCACCACTACCATCACCACCACCACCACCACCACCACCATCACCACCATCACCACCACCACCACCATCACCACCACCATCACCATCACCACCACCACCACCACCATCACCACCACCACCATCACCACCACCACCATCACCACCACCATCACCACCACCACCACCACCATCACCACCACCACCATCACCACCATCACCACCACCATCACCATCACCACTACCATCACCACCACATCACCACCACCATCACCATCACCACTACCATCACCACCACCATCACCACCACCACCACCACCATCACCACCATCACCATCACCACCACCACCATCACCACCACCACCACCATCACCACCACCACCACCATCACCACCATTACCACCATCACCATCACCACTACCATCACCACCACATCACCACCACCACCACCATCACCACCACCATCACCACCACCACCACCATCACCACCACCATCACCACCACCACCACCATCACCACCATCACCACCATCACCATCACCACCACCACCACCATCACCACCATCACCACCACCACCACCATCACCACCATCACCACCATCACCACCACCACCATCACCATCACCACCACCACCACCACCACCATCACCATCACCACCATCACCACCACATCACCACCACCACCACCACCTCCACCACCACCATCACCACCACCATCACCACCACCATCACCATCATCACCATCACCACCACCATCACCACCACCACCACCATCACCACCACCACCATCACCACCACCATCACCACCATCACCACCACCACCATCACCACCATCACCACCACCATCACCACCATCACCACCACCACCACCACCATCACCACCACCACCACCATCATCACCACCACCATCACCACCACCATCACCACCACCATCACCACTACCATCACCACCACCACCATCACCACCACCATCACCACCAACATCACCATCATCACCACCACCATAACCACCACCATCACCACCACCACCACCATCACCACCACCATCACCACCATCACCACCACCATCACCACCACCACCACCATCATCACCATCACCACCACCACCATCACCACCATCACCATCACCACCATCACCACCACCACCATCACCACCATCACCACCACCATCACCACCATCACCACCACCACCATCACCACCATCACCACCATTACCACCATCACCACCACCACCACCATCACCACCATCACCATCACCACCATCACCACCATCACCACCACCACCATCACCACCACCACATCACCACCACCACCACCATCACCACCACCATCACCACCACCACCACCATCACCACCACCATCACCACCACCACCACCATCACCACCATCACCACCATCACCATCACCACCACCACCACCACCATCACCACCATCACCACCACCACCACCATCACCACCATCACCACCATCACCACCACCACCATCACCATCACCACCACCACCACCATCACCATCACCACCATCACCACCACATCACCACCACCACCACCACCACCACCACCTCCACCACCACCATCACCACCACCATCACCACCACCATCACCATCATCACCATCACCACCACCATCACCACCACCACCACCATCACCACCACCACCATCACCACCACCATCACCACCATCACCACCACCACCATCACCACCATCACCACCACCATCACCACCATCACCACCACCACCACCACCATCACCACCACCACCACCATCATCACCACCACCATCACCACCACCATCACCACCACCATCACCACTACCATCACCACCACCACCATCACCACCACCATCACCACCAACATCACCATCATCACCACCACCATCACCACCACCATCACCACCACCACCACCATCACCACCACCATCACCACCATCACCACCACCATCACCACCACCACCACCATCATCACCATCACCACCACCACCATCACCACCATCACCATCACCACCATCACCACCACCACCATCACCACCATCACCACCACCATCACCACCATCACCACCACCACCACCATCACCACCACCACCATCACCACCACCATCACCACCATCACCACCACCATCACCACCACCACCACCACCACCATCACCACCATCACCACCACCATCACCACCACCACCATCACCACCATCACCATCACCACCATCACCATCACCACCACCACCACCATCACCACCACCACCATCACCACCATCACCATCACCACCATCACCGCCACCACCACCATCACCACCACCACCATCACCACCACCACCACCATCACCACCATCACCATCACCACCACCACCATCATCACCACCACCACCACCACCACCATCACCACCATCACCACCACCATCACCATCACCACCACCACCATCACCACCATCACCACCACCATCACCACCATCACCACCACCACCACCATCACCACCACCATTATCACCACCATCACCACCACCACCACCACCATCACCACCATCACCACCACCACCACCATCACCACCACCACCACCATCACCACCATCACCACCACCACCATCACCACCACCACCATCACCACCACCACCATCACCACCACCATCACCACCACCACCATCACCACCACCACCACCACCATCACCACCACCACCACCACCATCACCACCACCACCATCACCACCACCACCATCACCACCACCACCACCACCATCACCACCACCACCACCACCACCATCACCACCATCACCATCACCACCATCATCACCACCACCACCACCATCACCACCATCACCACCACCACCATCACCACCATCACCACCACCATCACCACCATCACCACCACCATCACCACCACCATCACCACCATCACCAGCTCACCTTCTGTGGAGGTAAATGGCCATTGCCAATATCAGAGTCATCACAGCAGAGGCGCAGAGAAGAACAGCAACCACCACTCCTGCAGACACACACAGAGAGAAATGTTGACTACCTCGCCTGGTGTACAGGTAGTCGTGGGTTCTATCTGAGACACACACACAGAGAGATGTTGACTACCTCGCCTGGTATACAGGAGGTCGTGGGTTCTATCTGAGACGCACACAGAGAGATGTTGACTACCTCGCCTGGTGTACAGGAGGTCGTGGGTTCCATCTGAGACACACACAAACAGAGATGTTGACTACCTCGCCATCATCATCATCTCTCTCCCATCCCCCACCATCATCATCACCACCTCCTCCATAATCACCACCACCACAACCATCACACACAGAGAGATGTTGACTACCTCGCCTGGTGTACAGGAGGTCGTGGGTTCCATCTGAGACACACAGAGAGAAATGTTGACTACCTCGCCTGGTATACAGGTAGTCGTGGGTTCCATCTCAGACACACACAGAGATGTTGACTACCTCGCCTGGTGTACAGGTAGTCGTGGGTTCCATCTCAGACGCACACAGAGAGATGTTGACTACCTCGCCTGGTATACAGGAGGTCGTGGGTTCTATCTGAGACACACACACAGAGAGATGTTGACTACCTCGCCTGGTATACAGGAGGTCGTGGGTTCTATCTGAGACACACACACAGAGAGATGTTGACTACCTCGCCATCATCATCATCTCTCTCCCATCCACCACCATCACCACCACCACCTCCTCCATAATCACCACCACCATCACACACAGAGAGATGTTGACTACCTCGCCTGGTATACAGGTAGTCGTGGGTTCCATCACAGACACACAGAGAGAGATGTTGACTACCTCGCCTGGTGTACAGGTAGTCGTGGGTTCTATCTGAGACACACACAGAGAGCTGTTGACTACCTCGCCTGGTCTACAGGAGGTCGTGGGTTCTATCTGAGACACACACACAGAGATGTTGACTACCTCGCCTGGTCTACAGGTAGTCGTGGGTTCTACCCCAGACACACACAGAGAGATGTTGACTACCTCGCCCGGTATACAGGAGGTCGTGGGTTCTATCTGAGACACACACACACAAACAGAGATGTTGACTACCTCGCCATCATCATCATCTCTCTCCCATCCCCCACCATCACCACCACCACCTCCTCCATAATCACCACCACCACCACAACCATCACACACAGAGAGATGTTGACTACCTCGCCAGGTCTACAGGAGGTCGTGGGTTCTATCTGAGACACACACACAGAGATGTTGACTACCTCGCCTGGTCTACAGGAGGTCGTGGGTTCTATCTGAGACACACAGAGAGATGTTGACTACCTCGCCTGGTGTACAGGTAGTCGTGGGTTCCATCTCAGACACACACAGAGATGTTGACTACCTCGCCTGGTATACAGGAGGTCGTGGGTTCCATCTCCAGACATACACAGAGATGTTGACTACCTCGCCTGGTGTACAGGAGGTCGTGGGTTCTATCACAGACACACACAGAGATGTTGACTACCTCGCGTGGTATACAGGAGGTCGTGGGTTCTATCTGAGACACACATAGAGATGTTGACTACCTCGCCTGGTATACAGGAGGTCGTGGGTTCTATCTGAGACACACACACAGAGAGATGTTGACTACCTCGCCTGGTATACAGGAGGTCGTGGGTTCTATCTGAGACACACACAAACAGAGATGTTGACTACCTCGCCTGGTATACAGGAGGTCGTGGGTTCTATCTGAGACACACACAAACAGAGATGTTGACTACCTCGCCATCATCATCATCTCTCTCCCATCCCCCACCATCACCACCACCACCTCCTCCATAATCACCACCATCACCATCACACACACAGAGATGTTGACTACCTCGCCTGGACTACAGGAGGTCGTGGGTTCTATCTGAGACACACACACAGAGATGTTGACTACCTCGCCTGGTCTACAGGAGGTCGTGGGTTCTATCTGAGACACACACACAGAGATGTTGACTACCTCGCCTGGTATACAGGTAGTCGTGGGTTCTACCCCAGACACACACAGAGAGATGTTGACTACCTCGCCTGGTGTACAGGTAGTCGTGGGTTCCATCTCAGACACACACAGAGATGTTGACTACCTCGCCTGGTATACAGGAGGTCGTGTGTTCTATCTGAGACACACACACAGAGAGATGTTGACTACCTCGCCTGGTATACAGGAGGTCGTGGGTTCTATCTGAGACACACACACAGAGAGATGTTGACTACCTCGCCTGGTCTACAGGAGGTCGTGGGTTCTATCTGAGACACACACACACAGAGATGTTGACTACCTCGCCTGGTATACAGGAGGTCGTGGGTTCTATCTGAGACACACACACAGAGATGTTGACTACCTCGCCTGGTCTACAGGAGGTCGTGGGTTCTATCTGAGACACACACACACAGATGTTGACTACCTCGCCTGGTATACAGGAGGTCGTGGGTTCTATCTGAGACACACACACAGAGAGATGTTGACTACCTCGCCTGGTATACAGGAGGTCGTGGGTTCTATCTGAGACACACACAAACAGAGATGTTGACTACCTCGCCTGGTATACAGGAGGTCGTGGGTTCTATCTGAGACACACACAAACAGAGATGTTGACTACCTCGCCATCATCATCATCTCTCTCCCATCCCCCACCATCACCACCACCACCTCCTCCATAATCACCACCACAACCATCACACACAGAGAGATGTTGACTACCTCGCCAGGTCTACAGGAGGTCGTGGGTTCCATCTCAGACACACACAGAGATGTTGACTACCTCGCCTGGTCTACAGGAGGTCGTGTGTTCTATCTGAGACACACACACAGAGATGTTGACTACCTCGCTAGGTATACAGGAAGTCGTGGGTTCCATCTGAGACACACACAGAGAGACGTTGACTAACTCGCCTGGTATACAGGTAGTCGTGGGTTCTATCTGAGACGCACACACAGAGATGTTGACTACCTCGCCTGGTGTACAGGTAGTCGTGGGTTCTATCTGAGACGCACACACAGAGATGTTGACTACCTCGCCTGGTGTACAGGAGGTCGTGGGTTCCATCTGAGACACACAGAGAGATGTTGACTACCTCGCCCGGTCTACAGGAGGTCGTGGGTTCTATCTGAGACACACACACACAGAGATGTTGACTACCTCGCCTGGTATACAGGTAGTCGTGGGTTCCATCACAGACACACAGAGATGTTGACTACCTCGCCTGGATGATACTACTAATGATGATGATGATACTACTACTACTGATGATGATGATGATACTACTACTACTGATGATGATACTACTACTAATGATGATGATGATACTTCTACTAATGTTGATGATACTACTACTGATGATGATGATGATGCTACTACTACTGATGATGATACTTCTACTGATGATGATGATGATACTACTACTGATGATGATGATGATACCACTACTAATGATGATACTACTACTGATGATGATACTACTACTAATGATGATGATGATACTTATACTAATGATGATGATACTACTACTGATGATGATGTTACTACTACTGATGATGATACTTCTACTGATGATGATGATACTACTACTGATGATGATGATGATACCACTACTAATGATGATGATACTACTACTTATGATGATGATGATACTACTACTGATGATGATGATACTACTGATGATGATGATACTACTACTGATGATGATACTACTACTGATGATGATGATACTTCTACTAATGATGATACTACTACTACTGATGATGATGTTACTACTACTGATGATGATACTTCTACTGATGATGATGATACTACTACTGATGATGATGATGATGATACCACTACTAATGATGATGATACTACTACTTATGATGATGATACTACTACTGATGATGATGATACTACTGATGATGATGATACTACTGATGATGGTGCTACTACTACTGATGAAAATACTACTACTGATGATGATACTACTACTACTGATGATGATACTACTACTGATGATGATACTACTACTACTGATGATGATTATGATACTATTGATGATGATGATGATGATACTACTACTGATGCTGATACTACTGATGATGATACTTCTACTGATGATGATGATGATGATACTACTACTGATGATGATGATACTACTACTGATGATGATGATGATACTACTACTACTACTGATGATGATGATACTACTGATGATGATGATGATACTACTACTGATGATGATGATGATACTACTACTGATGATGATGATGGTACTACTACTGATGATCATGATACTATTGATGATGATGATGATACTACTACTGATTATGATGATACTACTACTGATGATGATGATACTACTGATGATGATGATACTATTACTGATGATGATGATGATACTACTACTGATAATGATGATAATGATGATACTACTACTGATGATGATGATACTACTACTGATGATGATGATGATGATACTACTGATGATGATGATACTACTGATGATGATGATACTACTACTGATAATGATACTACTACTAATGATAATGATGGTGATGTTACTACTACTACTACTGATGATGATGATGATGATACTACTACTGATGATGGTGATACTACTACTGATGATGATGATGATACTTATGATGATGATACTACTACTGATGATACTACTACTACTGATGATGATGATGAAACTACTACTACTGACGATGATACTGATGATGATGATGATGATACTACTACTACTGATGATGGTGATGATACTACTACTGATGATGATGATACTACTACTGATGATGCTGATAATACTGATGATGATGATGATACTACTACTGATGATGATGATACTACTACTGAAGATGGTGATACTACTACTGATGATGATGATACTACTACTGATTATACTACTACTACTGATGATGATGATGCTACTACTACTGATGATGATACTTCTACTGATGATGATGATGATGATACTACTACTGATGATGATACTATTACTGATGATAATGATGATACTACTA